CAACCTCGGAATTGGAACTAAGTAATCATAGTTCACACGATATATGTATCCAGTAAACAAATATAGATAATGTACGTTATCAAAAAATATAATGTAAAGAAAAATCACATATATATACTCCCTCTGTTCAGAATTATTTGATGTTTTAGAAGGTTTTTTTTGTTCAGAATTATTTGATGTTCTCACTTTTCAATGCAAAATTTAATGAATTTTTATAGTTTTTGACCTTTTATATTCTGCAGATTGTTTTTTTATTGGCTGAATGATATTTAAATGAATTATAAATAATATTTTTAGTATAGGAAAAATAAAAATTAAATGAATCCTTAAACTGTGTGCAAAAACCTTAAACATCAAATAATTCTGAACAGAGGAAGTATATAATTAATTTGATTAAACTTAAATAACTTAAAATATATAATAAGAGGACGAATTTTGCATTAGAATTTTGAATTAACAAGAGTTAAGGCAGAAACATTCTAGAAGAAAAAAGGAGAAGACATATTATGTAATTGTTGGTAGCATATTAGAGGAAAAGTTCGTTAATTTAGTGTGAGGCATAATAACATAAATTTTTTAAAGTGATTTTCAGAATAGCAATTGACCGTTGAATGATAATGCAATCCGTGGGTTATGAACTTGTGAATAGAAAGTGCAAATTAACTGAAACCAAATATAGTTTATAATCGAAATAGATAACCTTTGGAATGCAAAACTCTCAAAACAATACTAAGAATTAATATAATATTGTACTATATATATAGACATTAGGGTACTGTTCGGTTAGCAATATTTTGGCATAGACAAATACTCCCCAAATCAAATGTATGTAAAGGTATTATAGACTATATAGTATATACCAAAATTGGACCACAATAACAAAAAGAAATGGACCACATTTGGGTGTTGATGACCCCTAAACATCTAAATGGGTGGATAGTACCTAAACGTATTCAATTCTCTGAATCGTTATTAACATAAATTTGGTTCTCTTCTTAGTACGATAAATGTTTGCCCTCTTAGATCAAAACTTTGGATCTTTTTCTCTTCTCATACCGTATATGTTAAGTCCACATCTTAAGACCGCATATATAATATCGCACGTTGTCTTGTCAAACTTATATACCAATATATAGTGGACATAAACCCCATATTTTCCATTATTAATATATATCGAATCATCCTTTTGTGAAATTTGAATTTTTAGACATCGATCGTTAAAAGCTTTTAATAGCACGAACATACATATATATGTCAACTTAGGACCATTTTAACATCACGCCTTGTCTTTTTTTTTTTTGTATGACCACACTCGTACATGCTATTTCGTACGCATATGGTATGGTGAAAAGAAAATTTCACGCTTATATATTAATGTTGAAACACATGTTAAGAGAGGTTTATTTCCATCATTAGGGCCTTCATCATGGTGTAATGTAATGATTTAACTAACCAGAAAAGCACAAAAACTTCTTTAATACTTAGTTACTCTTTTTATAATTGATAAAAATTTAGTGCTTCCCCATAAATTAAGAAAATAGAAATTTTGATTTCAAATATATCATTTACTGTTTCTATTTTTTTTCATAATTCTTAATCAAAATTAGTTTAACAAATTCAATCATTTTTTTTAAATTTACAAATTTTAAATCTTTTTCGATAGAATTTCATTTCTCATTTGAGCTACTATCATGAGCTATATATGATAGTACTCTTTTTCATAAATGGAGAAGAATTCGAGTATGTATCTCAATGAAAGCATTATGAAACTGAATAGAATCAAGAGTGAATTACATAAAAAGACACATTCTACACTTACTCTTACACAAAAAGACATTTTCTACTATTGAGGCACTTATTCGACTGTTCATTTAATATAAATCCAATATTACCATTCTCTCATTATATCAATTTTTTTCTATATCAATTTCTCTTCCTTCTTTCTCTTGTCTTCATCATCGACACCTCTTCACTTTTTTTTTCTTTTGATTTTTGAGTTCAATAAAATCAGAAACATATTAATTTTTATATTACTCAGGTTTGATAATTATGAGTTTGTAAGAAATTGGTTGGTGTGTTTGAATTTAGGCAAGAAATAATAAGAAATGAGGAAGATGATAAATGAGACAATTTAAGACTCAATTTCAGTGATAGAGATAAAAGACATTAAGATACTCAGTCAAAATCTCATGGAAAAAATTATTTAGTGATGGTGAAAGTGAAAGAACAGAAAACGCATTCAACGTGTTCGACAAAATGTTTGAAAGAGTAGTTTTGTATCCACGCAATTTTGTCCATGCTACACTGTCTATGAGAAATTAGAATACTTGTCTATGGTAAATTAGACAGCTTGTCCACAATATTTCATCCACATAATAGACAAACTACAAGAATTGTGATTGCTAGATTCATGCATATATTATTCTTTCAATAGACATATTAGTATGAACAACATTTTACACAATGTCTAACCAATTTACCCATAAAAATATTTTACACAATGTTTTGTATCCACGAAAATTTATCCATGCTACATTATCCATTACAAAACTAGACAATTTTTCCATGGCAAATTAGACAGCATATCCATGATATTATATCCACCGAATAGACAAATTATAATGACTGGGATTGCTAATTTCGTGGATATGTTATTCTTTGAAACAAAAAAAAAAAATAATATACATATCGCCGTGGATAACATTTTTACATAAATTTCTAGCTAATTTATCCATAAAACGCATTCAACATGTTCAACAAATGTTTGAAAGAGTAGTTTTGTATCCACACAAATTTGTCCATGTTATATTATCCATAACGCAACTTCTTCATGACAAATTGGACAGTTTGTCCAACGAAGGTTATAACAAAAAATATCAATGAAGAAGGAAATTATTCACATAACTTATATTTATCTTCCTTTGTTGGATGAAAGATTAGCCAGAAAATAATAGAATATAATAAACACAAATCATTTGACTTTTTTTTTTTTTTTACAAAGTTGAGAGAAGATCAAATATTTTTTTATAAAAAACTAAAAAAGTAACTCTGGTTGATTTAATTACATCTTCTCCGCCCCCATAATTTCACAATTGAAGATGTTCAATTGAATTATAGAAGTCAAAATTGCTGGGGGTTGAAAAAAAAAAAAATGCAAAAACGATGAGAAAAAGATAAAGAAGAGAGACAAGGAAAAAAAGAAAAAGAGATGATGTGTTTTTTTTTGTCATGAGAGGATGTGTTTAAGACGAAGAGAAGAGAGAGAACAAACAATGGGAAAAGAAAAAAAATATATATAAAATAAAAAAGAAGAAAGAAGTGTGAGAGAGTTTGTTTCGTCTTTCACCACATAAAAGTGTATCAATAGCAAAAAGTGTCTTATTTTGTAAATACAAATTTGAAAAGTGCCTTTTAATGTAATTTATTCTAGAGTCAATTATGTTTTTTCTGTTTTGCTCCGTTTCATAAGCTTTTTGCAATTATTTTCAATTTTTAAAATACATTATTAGAAATATTATGGAGGAAAATTGGGATGTTAATGCATACTTTTCTAAATATTGATGCGAGAAATGACAAACAAATCTTTAAAAACCTATGAAAATTTTTTATTTTGTTTTTATAGAAAAAGTCAATACTTGGTAAATTTCAGTATATATATTTTTAAAAAAAATATCGGATATTCATAGATATAAATTAAATTCTTTCGGTGACTAAAATTTAAGAAAATAACAAATTACATCGACATTTTAGGGTCTGGGCTTCTCATGTTTAATCCCCCTTTCTTATAAATAAAAAAGACTGATCATTTTTCCGAACTAAAAAAGGCATCTCTATACATACATAACATTCATGACTATATTTATATTGTTTATAGGATTCATTCTATAATGTTATAAACATGAAACTGGAAAGAAGGAATTTTGATAATCTAGCTTTACATGCTTTAATATATCTTTGCTTTGTTCGCTTTCATATGGAGGGTTGGTAATTTTAGGGTTTAGATGCAAATATGGAATCGACAACGCACACAAACTTTTCTAAAGCAACTTCTCACTTTGTCTCATTTTGGATGAGAATCTCTGCCACACAACTAATCAAAGCCCCCATTTTACGAGTCCATTATCTCTTCCTATTTTTTTTTTTAATGACATTGATACCCAATAGATTCCCAATCCAATAATTATCTTTTGAAAGTTACAGCTAAGAAGAATATTTGTTTGTTCGTTTCCCCAAACTTTGGATGAATTTTATTTCACTGAAAATAATATCTTAATAAAAGGAAGAAGAAGTCTAGAGGGCATGTTAAGAGGTCTAACCCGTCCTGCGTAGTTCGGGCAATGTTATTTTGTGGAACTATAAGCACTAATTCCAAACCCCATCGCCTTATGACATTAAGGTTTGCGAGTCGTTCCGTAGATTTTTTAAATTTGTAATTTTATCTCTTTGTCAGTTTGTCTAGTTCTTTAAAAAGGTAATTTTTGTTTTTTCAATATAGAACAAGATATATATATCTGAGGATATAATTTTTGTCAACATAAATATGATAGATTATGAATAATCATCAAAGACGAGTTACTAATTAGTAATTACTTAGTGAATTGATTATAAAAATTCATAAACATCTATATTTTTAAACTGTATTTTTAATTAAAATTTCATATCTATAGATTGAAATGATACACACACAGATTTAATGAAGGTTATTGGTGTGTATATTTTAATGGATTTGGAAATTCAAATAGCCTGCTTGAGACCGTTTTTTTAATGCAATATTCATAACTCTTAAAACTCGCTTTTGTCGTGGACATTTAAATTATCACCTTGTCCTAACACAAATGGTTTATGCCCAATACATTGTGGACTGTCTCGGCCGTAATTGACACCAAACTAACCAAAAAAGATACTGTAGTATAAAAATACATATGACCAAATGAGTATAACCCATTGTCTATGGATTCGTCTTAGGAGGAATCTGGGATATAACAGTAGACAGAAAATTGTATATCTGACATTATTATCTTCTTTTTTTTCTCGACCTTCTACAAAGACGGAACCAACAAAATTACGGACACAAGGAAATAAAAAAAAAAAGAGAGAAAAAACAACGAAGTTGAAAACTATATATATATATGAAAAAAATAAAATGTATCAAGAAGATTATATAATATTTGGGACACGAAAGAATGATCATAAATAACGTTTATACCACTTTTTACTAAAAAAAAAAAAACGTTTATACCACTTCACCGTACAATCAAACCAGCAGCAGCCTAACCCTAACCAAACCGGGAACACACAGGATCGTCGTCAGTGGCAAAACCGGAAACCTGAGGTTTAAGCGGAATGGAAGAAGAATAAGAAGACGAGAACAGGGAGGAACACGGCGGCGAAGACTGAGAATACTGGCCGGAAACCACCGTTAGGAAGAAAAGGGTAAGTGTCAGGAGGAGGCATGACGCAATTGTCTCCATTAAAGTAGATACGGCGAGGAAAAGCCCATCCTTTCTCGAATGTGAAGGTTGATTGATCTTTACGGAACAAAATCTCCGACTGCACATTCCCAAGAGGCCCTGCCTCTGATAGGAAATCGTTGTAGAACTTCACTCCCCATAACATGGCCGTATCGTCTACAAACCCAAAATAAAAAAAAAGAATTAAAATTTGAGATAAGCAGAGGGTGGAGAGAAGAGAGTGGATCTGAGTGTGTGTGTGTGTGTTTACTTAATCCGGCGTAAGGAGTGAGAGATTTGTAGTTGAAGCTGAAGATCTGAGTGATGTTGTCAAGATTTGGATGTTGAGCGACCATGTTCCACTGTGAGTAGTTTAAGCGATAGTTGAAGTTTGTGATTGTGATCTTCACTCGCCAATACTCTTTGTAGTTCTGCTTCACGTGCCAATGCACTCGGATCGGGCACATGTGTCTCGTGCACTGCACCAATGGCGGTAAAATCGTTCCTTTCTTCGTCGGTGGTGACACAACAGATGCTAGATGCGGTGTATCCGGGCTGCCATTACCAAAAAAGTTTTAGACTTTGCGATTCAAAACTTGTACCACAAAAAAAAACAGAGTTTGTGGCTTCATGATTGAATATGAACAGAACACAAAAAGGGTTTGAACAACTCACTCGAGACAGGCACCGGATTCCGTTTTGTTGTTCTGGCATCCGCAAGCACACGTTGGACATCCGACAATGGTTTCATTGTAAAAAGAAGATAAAGAAACGCAGCAAGTCGGAGTTCTTTGAGCAAGGAACTGAGAGTATGTGCACGTAATATTCCATGTCACTGCGGTAATTAAGAAAAGAAACTTTCTGCAGTTAGATTATAAACACCTTCAACACTTCCGTTCTAAAAAGTTTTAAATGCATTCTTGATTCTTACTCATAGCTTGAGTGGTTCTGCGAGTGTCGGGAGTGACAAACTTGGTTGGTTTGACAATCTTAGCTGGACCACAAGTGTAGCCTGGACCAGGGCCCATGAGAGTGAAGTTTCTTGGCACCCGGACGGTTTTGTTTGTGGTTCCAGCCGCACCAACACTGATCTGGAAGGAGCTAGCAGCATTGCCAGGGTCTTGAACCCATGAGTTCAAGACACCTCCTTTGCAGCAATTGGCTATCTGCTGGTTATAAGGAGTCCCCGGGAGCAAATCTACAACCGTTGGATCTTTTTTACAACAATGCGGTATGTTTCCTTTGTACTTTGAACAATCACCTGTTATACATTTACACATTATCGTTACAAACTATTTCCCAATAATTAGAAGTAACTAACATAGATTAATGGTACCAAAACATCTGGTTACCTTGTTCGGTTGTTTGTGCTCCGACCATACTCCATATAACTTCCTTCTTTGCCCATTTCCAACCTAATGTCCATCCCGGAGACTGAATGTGTCTGTATTTCTGGAAGTTGAACATTGTAACCACGGCCTATATCGAACAATTCAACAGTTTAGTAAACCGATATATAAGGCCAGTTTTTGTTCTCAGGTTCTTAAACTTACGACATAGCCATCAGGAGTCCAGCTCATGACATCCCATTTCATCGTAATATTGCCTTCGGGATCGAGCGCATCATATGCTTCTGCAGAAGGATTTTACAATTTGTATAAGAAGAAAAAAAGTCAGAACTTTGATTCTACTGTTCTAATCTCATAACCAATTGGTTTGTATGTAGAAACCAGAAATAGACCAAACTGTCTGCACAACTAACAAAAGTGTGCATTAAACTTTTCTGAAAGTTGCTATTTTTGGGATCATAAACTTGAAGCTTAGTTTTTTCCTGATATTGACTGATTTACTAAAACACAGGATGCACTGATATGGAAATTGAAGTCTTAATTTTAGGATCTGAGCTATGCAAAAGCATTTTGTTTCACTAACTGAATAAAGATCTAGCATTGCTGAAGAGTAACCCAGTAACAAAAAGCAGATCATGAACTGCCACGCCTGATTAACACACAATTCGCATGATCTCAATCCAGTTTAAGAGACGAGGACTGATCAGATCTCTCTATCGACCTCAACAAATAAACAAAGCAGTCAAACATTGAAGATACCCAGATGCTAAAAGCATAGTCTCAATTAAAGAATTTGAATAATTTGACGATCTTAAACCGTGAAAAGTGAAAACCCAATCAAGAAGCAAGATGGGAAGCTGAAGAAGCTTCTAGATAAAGAAACAGAGCAAAGAAGCAGATTAATGTGATAAAGAGAATAAGAAGTCACCTGTCGAAGTGAAAGAAGACGACGAAATCAAGAAGAAGATATATACGGCCAAGAAACTCAATTTAAAGACTATGGAGGTGGATCTGGAGAAGAAAGACTCCATTTTTGTTATTCCCTGTTGATCAGACCAGAACCAGAGATGAAGAAGCTTGTTCCAGATCCCTTAGATGGGTCTGGTTAAATCTAAAACCAATCAGTCGTAGAGGAAGCAGAGGAAGATGCTTTGCTTGAAGGAGGAGTGGACTTATAGAGAGAGTAGGAAAGTTTTCAGCTTTGCGAATACGAAGGAGAAGCCATGACAAATTTGGGATCTGGCTGGCTAGTGGCTGTTTCAGTAAAAAATTTTGCCGGAATATTGATTTGACCATTATACCCTTTCTATTATTTGGCGTAAAATGACCTCTAATGATTCCCCAATTAAAGAAACAAAATAAGGCTTTGATTGGTTTAACTCCTAAACGCTTTCTTGAAATAAACCCACAATCTTGCATATTTTAAGTCAATTTTCTTTTGCTGATCTTAGAAACTGATAGAAGAATAAATGTTTTGTTTGTTTTTAATATACGTTGCGATCAAAAGCTAGATAAAATTTTATAGGTTAATGATTTTCATTTATTTTCAAGTAAAATAAGAATAAACCAAGCTGTATTTAATTTCTTGAATTATTTGTTCAAAGCTCTAACAGAAAAAAAAAAAGATGTATGTGTATATTTGTAAGTTTGTTGTTGTATTGATAAATGAGAAAGGGGCCTTTGTGTAATTGTCATGGGAAGTTAGTTTACTAACGAGAAGATATTACAGAAGAAGACAGCTTTAAGAGGGAACGTGGGACATTGACAGTGTTTTAAGCTGTCGGTGGAGAGAAAAATGATTCTCATTAATTTTGGATGATGTGTTTACTTCTGCTTTCACAAATTTTAAAGCTAATGATTTTACGACCATTTCTCTAATATACTATATACTTTTTAGGTTTTTTTTTTCAAATGTACCATTAAAAGTGCCAGATGGATGATATATTTACTTGTGTTTTCCACAAATTAAATTAGAAACTTGGAATTCAAGTTGCACACCATAGTTGTGTATGCAAAAGAAATTATACAAGATAGATTAAAATACTCATTAAAATAAGCAGCGTGATTATATTGAAATATTCAATGTCGATATCGAAATAAAATGTGTCGGCGGTTTTCTTTTTCTTTTTTGCAATATTAAAATGTGTCGGGGTATTATGTAGATATATCATTTTTTACATATGGTCTTGAAAACAAGATAGCAATTTACAAATTAAGTAGTTAGTCCAACAAATCTTTTTTTCGGGGCTCGATTATTGATTGAAAATACACAATTGACCACTACAAAACGAAATGGTGTCATTTAAAATAACTCAGTATTATAGTGGATTTCGATGAGGATTGGTTTTTGGGAGATTCCGGAGGTGAAGCTGAAGTCCCATAGTACGGTTATATAAGAAATAAAAATTTCCCAAATGACTAAATTTTTCTAAACAATAGGTGTCTACTTCAATTCGATATTTTCTTGTATTTTATTGCCTTAGTTCATCGTGGTATTCACTGCGAATTTACGACATTTTCCAACCTGATTCTCTAGTTTAAGTTATTGAAGTAAAAACCTAATAATTAAATGCAAAATTATTAAAATTACCTAATTTACATATATTTTCTGGTATTTTTTCCTTAGTTCATAGTTTTTGTTTTAACCCCGAATTCACAATATTTTCTAACATGAACTTCTAGTTTAAGCTATTGGATTAAAATCAAATTAAAAAAATACAAATTTATATTTCGAAGTTAGTCCTACGATGTATATAATATAGTGGGTTAGTAGACAATCTTTATCGTTATGTGAAAAGTGAAAACAATAAGACTTATATTCCAAGTTAATAATTAAATTCGTATAGCTACGTACATAGCCTCTATTACTATAATTATTCATTAGTTCTTCTCGTTAATTTATTTGTGTATTTGAATGACAACTTATAGTATTAGATTATGCGGAAAATTAAAAGTTCTCTTATATTGCCGACACTATCAAGAACTAATCATTTCACTAATTGTGCTGTCAAAGTTGAACATAAACGACCAACCGTTGATAAGGATATGTACATTACTCCTTATTTGATCAAACGGAATAATAATTTGTGCTAATATTAATATACTATTAGTGTCATCATCTGAATTTTAAATCTGTATAATGCAAAATCATTAGGATAATAATATTAACCGGTTTGGTGCCTGGGTTTAATCGAACCAAAACGATTCACGACAACCGGAATCGAAAATCGAAGTTAATTTCACAAGTCACAACACTGATTAAACTTCAAAATTTAGAAATCTAAGCTACAAATCCATCCCTCAGGCAACGTCTTTGTTTCCTGGTTAGATCCGACGAGTGTTGTTCTCCTTTTCATCAGAAGTTCTGCTTCCACTTGCCCTACCCGAATTGCTCTGCACGAAACCACCATTACCGACTGGTGGTTCACCACCGCTTTGTTCAGCGTTTCTCTCTCTCAGCAAGTTGCTGCCATTAGAAGACGCTGGCCTCATCATTGCCCTCGGTAGCTTTAGTTTGATGCTATTTGCCTCTCCTGAGTCCGAATTAGCTTCCTCCTGAGATGTAGCTGGCGGCATTGGTGCTAGTGTTGGTGCTAGTGTTGGTGTTGGTGTTGGTGTTGGACCTACAACAATCTGAAGCACAGGCTTCTTCCATTTCTTTCTTTGGCTTGGCTTTGGCACATTCGATTTACCCTGAAACGAAATTAACCAAATAAGGATTCTGCTGTTTCCTAGCTACACGTATAAATGATCAATACAAATATAAACGTTAATAGCCTTTACCGTTGTGTTTCCGATGTCTGATAGAGGTTTTCTTTTCTTCCTGGTTCCTTCATCATCATTAGTTTCCTCCACTGGCTTGTCAGCAAGTGCGTTTTGCAGCAGCATTGCTCCACGTGAAGCAAGGACTTGTTGTTGTTCTTTGTCCTTCTCACTGTCCTCAAAGGCCTCTGAATCTGAGTCTGCGTTTCTGTTGGAACATCTCACTGAAGAACATCCGCATGATGCACCACAAGATCCCTTTCTAGCTCGGCATTGACACTTCATCGTCTTGCAAGAAGAGTTTCTACTGCAACTGCAACACACATCAGATGATGATGTGGATCTCACTGCAGAAGCATCCGAGTTCTCTTCATATGAACGCCTTGGCACCACGCTAGAGCGCCGTCTGCCCACTTTGAAGTTCCGTTTCTTATTGAGCTTTCTAACAGATTCCTGTTCCGAGTCACGCTCTGATTCTTGTTCAGGTCTCCATTCATCATCAAGATCTCGACCTTCCCGTTCATGGTCCGACTCTTCTTCAGAATCAGACGTATCCATGTCCTCAATAACTATAACCGAGCTCCGGGCTTCCTGCTTATCCAAGTCGTCAAGAATTATTATACCCGAGTTCTTCTCCTCTGCAGACCATTTCTCCAATGCAGAGGCCTGTAAAATAGAATCCCAATGGATTGATATGCTAAATTTCAGCAAGAAAGAAGGATAAGACATTAACCTGTCAACAAAACAATATGTTTTCAACTAACCTGTGCCTTGACCTGGTGAGCGAGGTCTGCTTTTTGGATTTCCAAGACTCGAACGAAACTACTAAACTTTACTATTTTTTCTTTCAGGTCTCTTATAAGGACATCCTTTTCTCTGCAGTCTGCCTCTTTATCTCGAGCTAGACATCTTTAAAATTAAACAATGGACAGAAAGAAAGAATATTAAATTAGAAATCATACTTTGAAAAAAGCTTTAGTCACTAAGTGAGATTTTACCTCGCAGTTGATGCCAGATTGAAGAGATAGTTCATGATGCTCTTCGCGTCACCTAATGTTCGAACTTGGTTCCACCTTCCTCTTCCACCAAACACACGCTCACGTTCCTCTGCTTCAGATAACTGTGATGCCATGGAAACGAGAGTGTTTGAAGAGGTCGCAAGCATATTCTCAAGAGCAAAGATCCTTGAGTTTCTTGCACCCGGAGACATGGTATCACTATCAACGCTGTTTGGTCACAGAAGACGTAAACGGTTTAATATATATATTTTTAATTATGAACTGGTTGGTGCAAAAACTGATTTTTTCCAGATCACCTACCTTATCTTGGCATTCTTGAGTAACTCGTTCTCTTCCCTTAGCCTAGCAACTTCCTGAGCCATTCTTGCTCTCCTGAATTATAGACAGGAGATATTTGAGACAGTCTAGAGGAAATTCTTTGTTATCACAAAACGTTTCTTGTCAGGCCATGATGAAGCTATAAAACAAACACAAATACATGACATACTCTTCTATTTGCCTCTCGTATTCAGAACGCACTTCATGAACCCGAACGGTGACTTCAATCTCATGCTCAATTGCTTGCATCAATGCCTGCAAATAAATCACCAAAGTCAAGAAAGAAAGTTGCATTTACAAACCAATCAACACAGTCATCAAACTCTCCATATCTAGTCAGTAACTGGAAAACAAAGCAACGGTTTCATATAGTTTGGTGGGTGTTACCTGAGTTCCTGGACCATTAACACTTGCCCCACCTGCATATATAGTAGGAGATCCAAAACAATTAATACCAACAAAAAAAGGTGATCATGCTAAATCGTGTAATACAAAAACCCTTACTCAATGTCTCGCGTGAAGACGCTTTTCGAGTTTCTAAAAGATCTTTAAGTCTTTTTGTCGCCTGAGATGCCTCTTCTGTCTTTCTTTGCAAAACCTGTTAAACCCACAGACTTTTGAGCAGCCATGACAGTAACAAAATATTCAGACCATTTATCTGGAAGTTTATAAAAATGCTCACCAGCTTCTGTTTTTGATTCAAAGCCATGAGTTTGTGCATCTCATACTCATTTCTCCTTCCCTCTTTTTTGAGCTGGCCAAAATTTAAATATAGGTCATATAATGATTGCGAACACGACACTTGTTTTACTTGTTCACAAGTGGAGCAAGACACACACTCTTATAAATTAGTGAAATCAAGTAAGCGGCAAGTCACCAGAGAAGAATCTTAAATGGCTACGAATTGAGGAATCGAATATACCTGCATGACTTCTTTCTCTCTCGAAGCCTTCCAAGCCCTGAACTGCTCTGACTCTTGCTTTATCTTTTGCTGCAATTGCACCTGAAAATTTCAATTAAAAAAGCAGATTAGCATAGTTAAGAAAATAAGCATGAACATAAACATATAGAATATTAAACTTGAGATCACCTTCTGGGACTTAATTCTGTGTATTTCATCTTGCAGTTTTCTTGCCGCATCATCACTTTTCTGCTTTTGCCTCAAGAGTTGAGCTTGTTGATCTTGTTTCTTTTTCAACTCAGAAACCTAATAAACAACGCATCATGAAAAATCATATGTAAATCGCAAGTATAGCTGATAAATCAAAACAGGTGTTACCTGGGTTTCAAGCGTGTTCAGTTTCTGAAGATACTCTTCCTTTAGTTTTTGGGCACCATCGCCTGGGGCAGATGGTATGCTAGCAAGGTTCTGTCTCAAACCTTCAATTTCTCTCTGCCAATGCATATTTCATTCAATCAAAATTTGAGTCCATTAATCCCATTAAAATGCAGCTACGAAAAAAGAACCTTAAAAAAAAAAGAAATTTCCATTAAACCACAGAACAACTAACCTGCAATGCTCTTTTTTCCTGTTCTAGTTCATGAACCTTTTTCTCATAATGTTGCTTGAGAACAGATGTACCACCACTTGAATAACGCTTCATTTCAGCCTACATGAATAAATTGACTTGTCACTGGATTTTATACGCATACTAAAAGGAGCACATTCCAAATCTGAGAATAGTACCTCCTTTTCTTCAAGTCGCTTATCCAATTCCTTCAGCTCCATGTCCAACTTTTCTTGAAGTGAGCAATGTTCAAGCTCTTTTTCTTGAAATTCAATCTCATCTGCATACAAGGCAAAGCAAATAGAATTAGCAATGTAAAAAATTGAGGGTTCTGCTTCTTTCTGCCAGGCAAACAAAAAATGCTAAGTTAAAGTACCTACCAGTGACATCCATTACTTTCTCTTCACAATCTGACGACTCATTAGATGAGGGGAACAAAACATTACTCGAACGAGGCCCATCGTCATAGGAATCAGTAGACTCAGAGTATTGGCAATTACTGGATTTCTTTAAGCTTTTGATATGCAACAGCTCTCCTTCCAGCTCTTGGATTTTTGAAACGTACTTGTTGACCAAACCAACATCCTGGAAGAATAAGAACTTTAGCTACAAAAAATATCACTTAGTCATAGGCTTTAACTACGGAATCATAAAGGACATCCTACCTCATTTTGGCAGGATTCAATCTCATCCAAAGATTTACCATTTCGAACAGATTCAATTGTCAAAATTAGTTTGTCCTTTTCAACCTAAATGGACGAAAACAAAGTGTTAACTGTTAGATATCATATGAATTGACGCATTAAAAACAGTGAGAATAGAAAAAATACCTGAGCATCGTAAGCACGCTTTGAGAAATGCTCACATGCAACTCTCCGTTCTTGAAGTTCATTTTGTAGCTCACGATTGCTTGCCTCAAGCAGTGATATTTTATGCTTGAGAATCTAACAGAGGTAATATAAGTTTTCAGAATTAAAATCATGTGACTAGCATCAAATGTAAATGTTTGTCTTAGTCCAGATGGAGTACCTGGAGCTCATCAAAAGCGCCACTGTCTCCCCGATAGAACCTGAGTTCTGTCTGCAGCTGCTCAATTTGACTCCGCATACTTTGCATTAGTGCCGCTGCTGGGTCTCGATTGATCTAGACGTTGCAAGAAATGACAAGTCGGTAATGTCATAAAAATTAAATATCATATAAATATCATAGTTAAAGAACAAGAACTAAAATACACGTACCACTGCTTTGTTTTGAATATTGCGAGCACGATTTGCATACTTCAGTGTATTCAGTGTCTCCTCAGCATTTGTATCAGCTGGACTTACGCAAGCTGCATCATAAATTGCGTGATTAAAATCAATGCATGAATAAAAAATAGATTGTTCAAAAAGCTCATAAATGTGAAAACCATACCGATCATCACTGTTTTACTATTGCCACCAAGGGAATCCTACGTTACAGGTTAGTACGGTTATATTAGGACGCATAATTCGATTGACAAAGTGTAGTGAAATAGATACACAAAAACCTTAATACCTGGAGCAGGCGAGTTAATTTGCTGTCTCTGTAAGGAACATGACCTCCTTCCTTTCTCTTTCTCTCATCTCCTAATGCACTGATTACATTTCCCAGAGCTAGTAAACCTTTGTTGATATGGACTCCTGTGAATGTATAGTAAACAAAACTCACAGTTAGTCATTCTTCTTTCTAGACAAAACCAAAGAAGAGTAGTATAGAACACAAAGATTGGTGTGAGTTAACCTTCTTTGAAACGCATCCCATCGGCTCCTGTTCGTTTTGCTCGTTCTGAGCCAGCTAGGTCTACCAAATGTAGTTTTGCACACAGGATATCTTCACTAGCTTCTTCACTCTTTTGTTCTAGAGTGATTGTGAAGATTGCGTGAGACCGACTATATAAAAAAGAAAACTTTCTCGTTAGCACATTCGTAGGAGATATACTTTCTTGATAGTAATGAAATTCTCTCTATTCACAAGTATACTTAATTCTACTAAATTAAGTAAGAAGAAAACGGAAAGAACTCTAGTGAATCCATTTCAAATTCTAGAATCACCTTGATTGGCTATTCATGTTTGTGCTGGCAGTAGCACGAGATAAAGAGCCTCGTGATAGATAAGAGCACATCTCCTCTTTCGTCTTCACTTCTGCCTCTGTAACGCCAGCCAAAGTTATCCCTCCACTAGTAGTTTCTCTGATTTGAATTGGAGCTCTTGAGAGGGCAACGTGCTTGGCCTGAACCCCACCATCATTTTTTTGGAGGGCCGACGAATTTGAGTCAAGCAAATCGAAAACTTCTTCCTTGAATATCTGCATTTTAAGAAGCAAGTATCAGAATTCGAAATATACAAAAATCAGACCTCAGATAAGAAGCCCCAATAGATGCTCTTACCTCAATAAAAGATACCCGTATCAATAGTTCGGTGGAATCTTTGGTAGTCTCCACTCTTCTAAATATATCTTCCATCACTTTTGGTATGATACCACCATTTGTTCCATCTCCAGTGTAATTAGTACCCATAGTGTATGTTTTACCTGAACCAGTCTTCAATAACAACAAACGAAAAAAAAAATTGAATTTGATAGACCAAACACAAATCATCTTGTAGCTCTAAAAGAATTGAAGAGTAAAGAGAGTATCAGATCAAACCTGGCCGTAGGCTAGAACTGTAGCATTATATCCCTTAAATAGTGCTTCCACAAGTGGAGCAACACAATGATCGTAGATCTCCAAACACGGGTACCCAGCATTTCCAAATACGAAATCGTATGTAAAACTATGTGAACCTATGTGAACCTGTTCATTTCAGATTACAAAATTGCCAGCAAAAAATGAGTTCTCGTATACAGAATTATCGATTTATAAGATGAGAAATTACATGCGAAAAAGGAAAAAAATCCTGCCGATTGAATACCTGTGGCTCCTTGGGAGCAACGGTGATGCAATCTGTGCATCCGTTAAGAAGCTCCGGCGTAATCAACGGACGGATATTGACTGCAACTCGGACGCACTCTGTGCTCTCCATCTCCGGCGATTCCAAACCCAGAAACCCAGATTACGGATCCAATCCAGAAAATGATTCACGAAGAAAACCCAATCAACACCACGAAATGTAGATTGAATCCAAGAACAGAGAGCTAGGTATTTCAGCAAGCTGAAAATTCTCGCGAAATGGGAAAATGGGGAGGAGAGAATTCAAAATTTGAAGAGATTCAGACAGAAAGGAATAGAGAGAGAGAACGCTAATGAAAGGTTGATAAATAATTAATTTTAAGAAAGGAAAAATTAAAATATTCTGTTTCCGCCCCTCAGGTTCCGAATTCAAATTTTTTGAGACCGTTACGCACGTGATTATCACACGTGAGCATTAGAAAATTAAAGCCCCATTTGCTTATCTCCGATCCATGTAAAGCCCATTGGGCTCATATTGATCTTTTGTCTGAAGTGAGGTGAAAAAGGCGAGGAAGACGATGGTGTTCACAGGAAGCTCAGTAATGGAGACACTGGAGCAATCTCTACAAGACGGAAATATCTACAGACAGCTCAATGCACTCATCGTCGCTCATCTCCGTCACCAAAATCTCTCACAGGCATGTATTTTCTCTCTTTCCGTTCCAATTCTGGGTCTGAGCCATTTTTGATAGGATTAGTAACTACATACAGTTTCTCAATTTGGGAATTAACTATTTTTGGATTTTTTTATTTTATTTGGGTGTTCGTTTGGATTTTAAATCAAGCTAAATCAGGTGTTCTTATGACATTACTATTTTAAGGGATGATGTTGTAGAAGAGTAGTGAAGTGCTCAAGTTTGGATTTTTCATTAGTTAACAAGTCTTGATTTTGAGGTGGAACTTTTCTAGGCTGCAAGTGCGGTTGCTTCAGCCACCATGACACCATTGAATGTTGAGGTTCCTCCAAACCGTCTTCTGGAGCTTGTTGCAAAGGTTCTTTTTTTTTTTTCCTTTTTTTCCACATGTAGCTCTATGTTTATGTTTTTGGAGTGTATGTGAGATTCTCTAGTTCTCATGTCCAAAATCAGAAGAAATTGTTTTGGGTTCTGAGATGAGAACAGGGTCTTGCAGCGGAGAACAATGGGACATTGAGAGGTGTTTCTTCATCAGTCTTGTTACCAACTTCTTATGGATCAATCGCTACTCCTCGGACAGCTTCTATTGACTTTAGGTGATGTCCCTTGTTTTTCCAATGAGTAACATAGCTTTATGTTTCGTAAGAGATGAAATCAAAACTGCTTATCATCTAATCAACTTTTTTGGACTTTGTCGAACTAGTGTTACTCATGCCAAAGGATCATCAAAGATGCTCCCAAAGCATGAATCGAAGCAGCTATCGGAGCACAAGGTATATCATGTCGAAGTAAACACAACTTGGTCAATCCTAAATAATGTTTTTCTCTGAGGAATTTGAATTTTGACTGATAAGCTTTTGAATTTTATAGAGCGTCGTTAGGTGTGCAAGATTGAGTCCCGATGGAATGTTTTTCGCAACTGGTGGTGCAGACACGTCCATTAAGCTCTTTGAGGTAATCATGAACTTTGTTCATTTTCATTGTACCTCAACTAAATTTTCCTTAAGCATCATCAAGAATTGATAGTTCTTTGGATATACCGTGTTGTTTCTTTAAGGTGCCGAAAGTAAAACAGATGCTTTCAGGAGATACTCAAGCACGACCATTAATACGGAGTTTTTATGATCATGCTGAAGTAAGCCTTCCCGTTATCATTATTTTTATTCCACAATTTTCAGGACTTTTTTTCTTTTTTCTTTTGAATCTCTTATTCTTATGAAAATCATATGCAGCCAATAAACGATCTTGATTTCCACCCTCGGAACACAATCCTAATTTCCAGTGCCAAAGACAACTGTATAAAGTATATTATCGATTTATCATTTCTGTTCTCTACCTAAATGGATTCTCGCAATGATCACAAGAAAATTCTGTGTTCACCTTTTTTGTGTGTCTTTTCTTGTGGCTTTGACAGATTCTTCGACTTCTCCAAAACCACAGCTAAACGAGCATTCAAAGTTCTTCAGGTAGAGCTCATGGTTGTTAGCAGTTTCTACTTAGCTACATAGTGAAAATCACAGCAAATCGATAACTGTAAAAATTCTGCAGGATACCCATAACGTGCGCTCTTTATCTTTTCATCCTTCTGGAGAGTTTCTTCTTGCAGGTGAGATCCTTCACAAGACTGATACAATAAAAAATTTGTCTATGCTGAGATTATTTTGAAATTATTTTGAAACCTTCACAAAACAATTATTTTGAAATTGAAATTTTGGCTTTTGCAGGAACCGATCATCCGATTCCACATCTGTACGATGTAAACACTTATCAGTGCTTTCTTCCTTCAAATTTCCCAGACAGTGGAGTGAATGGCGCCATTAATCAGGTACTTATCTCGTAGATCTTAGTTAAGGTGCTATGACTATAACCATCTCTTGTGATGATGATCATGGCTGTGGGATTCTTGGTTTTTTCAGGTGCGGTATTCATCGACCGGATCCGTCTATGTTACTGCCTCAAAGGATGGAGCTATTCGACTCTTTGACGGGGTTAGCGCAAAATGTGTACGCTCCATTAGCGGTGCACATGGAAAATCAGAGGTTACAAGCGCAGTTTTCACCAGAGATCAAAGGTACAAAGAACACTCAAATCCATTTTTCTCTAAGAGATCACTAGTATTCTCAATAGTTCTTGATCCTATGGCCTTTTTTTTTAAGGTTTGTTCTCTCGTCCGGTAAGGATTCTACGGTTAAGTTATGGGAAATAGCTTCGGGTCGAATGGTAAAGGAATACCTCGGAGCAAAGCGGGTAAAATTGCGGTCTCAGGTAATGATTTTCTCAAACCTTGAAACAGTTATATATTTACTTAGTCCTACTTATCTTGAACGGTCTTCATTGTTGTGTTAACGCAGGCAATCTTTAATGACACGGAAGAGTTTGTAATCTCCATAGATGAAGCAAACAATGAGGTAGTTACGTGGGATGCGAGAACTGCAGAAAAAGTGGCAAAGTGGCCTTCGAACCATAACAGTGCACCGCGGTGGATCGAACACTCGCCGGTGGAATCAGTCTTTGTTACTTGTGGAACGGACAGATCAGTTAGGTTCTGGAAAGAATCCGTATAGGATGATAAAAGTTGTGTTTTTTAATTTCTTAAATCATAAACCATGCATGAAAATACAAATTACAGAAACTCGCTGGAGATAGATTTTGCTTATTCAATTTCAAAGTAAAACAATTCGGAGACTTGCGTTGTTCATGTTGCTTTGTGGTAGACGCAATTAATGTTCCAGGTCACTGCATAAGAACAAAAACAGAGGAGTTAGCTTCTATTGACTTGCAGAGGTTAGTTTCTACTGAGAAACTTACTCATGGCTGTAGTAACTCTCCTTTTATCTGCGGTTAAAAACTTCGTCGGTCTAACATTCTTGGCCGGCCCACAGATGTACTGTTGTTTAGGTGCCGTGAACATGAAGTTTGCAGGCATTCGAGCAGTTTTATTCGAGGTACCAGCTAAACCAACGGTTATCTGGAATGCACTTTCTAAACCCGGTTTCAAGACACCACCTTTGCAGCAATTAGCGATTTGCTGATTGTAAGGAGTTCCAGGAAGCAAATCGACGACTGTTGGTTTACGAACACAGGAACGAGGGATGTTTCCTTTGAACATGGAGCAATCTCCTTGCTCTGTGGTTTTTGAACCAATTATGCTCCAGATAATCTCTTTTCTGGTCCATCTCCAGCTCATTTTCCAACCCGGTGAACGAATTGAACGTTGTCTCTGGTAATTGTAAGCTGTAACTACAGCCTGGGGAAAACAAATATTAGTTCTAAGGTTCAGTTTTTAAGAAAGCATATCTCTGAGATTTGGTGAGACAAGAAGTAGTCATGATGGTTGGACTTACAACGTAGCCATCAGGCGTCCAGGTCATGAGATCCCATTTGATTGTGATGTTTCCGCTGTTGATGGCGAGAGCTTCAAAGAACACATCAAACACTTGATAAGTTTATAAAAGAGTCTAACAGAAAAATGAAGGTAGGAGAGAGATCTTCTTCTTCACATTCAGAGGTTTACCTGAAGAAGTGAAACATGAAAAGGAAAACAAGAGCAGGGCGATCATGGCCGAGAAGAGAGACTCCATTCTTGTGATTACAATGGAGAGAGAGAGCGTGAAAGGGCTTTGTAAGAAGAAAGACCAAAGGCGTAGACTTTGACTTCTTCATTCGACCAACAAAAAAAAAGACTTCCACTTCATCAACTAGGGTACACATGTGCACAGCTGTATACTTGTATCACATTGACTGCCATTATCTCCGGGATTTTTGTTTTACTTTTCAACAAACATATTTAACGAAGATTAGTTTTATGATCCATTACAAATTTACAAATCAACTTAACTTGGAAGTACAAAGAAGCATTTTCAAATAACTAAGCAAAAGCAAGGAACTTTATCTTATATCCGATTCTTGAGCCAGCCATGAAAACTGAAAAGTGTGTCAAGTGTAAACGTTACATTGAGCTGAACCAAAAAGATTATTGAGCTGATGATCAAAGATCACTATTTCCTGACAAAATCATAAAAAGGAAAGAACAAAGACTTTTTTTTTCCTCAATGGATTGAACCATGAACTTCTAGCAAATCCTATCAGAATGTAGAAGATTATCAGCATCACATCCTCCGTCTCATCTTATTGTGCGGTTTCTTAACAAAGCTCATATTGATCTGCTTGAGCCGTCTCCTCTTCCTCGCGGTTTTCTCAGGCAAAGTCTCTCTCTTCTTCACATTGCTATCCACTTCCTTGGTCTTCTTTTTCAAAAACCTCGGATCAACTCTGTATTCCTTGGGACTAACAGCAACTCCTTTCCTTGCAGCTTCTTTGTACAAACCATTAGCTCTAGTTAGCTGGTTATTCGCACACATTTTCCCCATTAACAAATCATAAGTCTTGATCCCAGGTTTGCAACCATCAGCTTTCATGTTCTTGAACACACTCATCGCATGCTCAAGCCTCTCAATCCCACACAATATCTTCAGAAACCCGTAATACTCCTTCTTATCCAAAGACTTACCATAACCTGCTGATTTCATCTTATCGATCATTTCGTCTCCTTCACCGATCCTAGCTGCTTGATATAAACTCCTGATCAGAACAAGGTAGGTCTCAGCATCTGCTTGACAACCCCATTCACCCATCCTACCAAACAACTTCATCGCCTCTTCGGTTCTCCTGATTTTACACAGATTGTTAATCAACACATTGAAAGTCTTTGTATTTCTTGGCACACCACGGTACTCCATCTCCAGCAAAACCTTGTCCACTTCGAGCTGGAGCCTAAACGGATCTTTCTTCCTACAAAGCTTACAAACACAATCAAGAATCACGTTATATGCTTTCGTTCCTATCTCGAATCCTCCTCTAGACATCTCACCAGCTAACTTAGTTGCATCATCGAGTTTCTCAGCAGCACACCAACCACTGATCAACAAATCACAGATGTTTTCGTCAGGAAATATCTCGTTAGCAGTGCTCTTCACCATCTTCTCTGCGAAACTCGCGTGCCCTTTCTCGCAGAGCTTCTTCACGACCAAGGTAAGTGATTCTCTATCTCGTTTTAATCCGTAGTCACTCTCCATCTTCTCGAAAAACTCAACGACCTGTTTAGGTCGACCCGCTCGGACGAGCCTGTCGATCGCCGACTCTAGTGTTTTCGCTCCGGCGACGCCTTTGTATTTCGAAATGATCTCTTGCATCCCTCTGAAATCCTTTCTACGGCCGAAGTAATCGACGAAAAACGAAACTGTTTCATCGGTGTGGGAGAAGCCAGAGTTCGAATCCAGCCACTCGTTAAACCCAAGAGCTGCGCGACCAGCTTCCGGCGAGAGATTGAGTGTCTGGAGAATCAAATCGGGATTCGGAGTGATGTGTGAGAAGCTGAGCTGGAAGCTCTGCGAGATGGATTGAGGCTCAGCTTCAGGATTTCCAGTGAGCTCCTTCGAGAAAGAAAGAGCGATCTGATTCGAATCTAGAGTTTCAGACTCCGCAGCATTGGTTTCGGATGAGAAGAATCTATAAGGAAACAACGAGAATCTGGGAGGTGGCGGAGTAGAAAACGACGGGTTAGGAAAAATGATACGGGACTGAGATTGAAGGCTATTGACGGATGAGGATGAGAGGCCACGGAGGAGGAGCCACCGGAGTTGCAGAGACGGTAACGGCGGCGGCATTTCTGATTTAGGGAGAGGTGGTAACTAGAGAGTGGTGGGAAAGGAGAGAGAAGAAACAATGGAAGTTGAATCAAAACCCTAGTTCAAGATTTTGGAACACCAAGAATAATTGGGCTTGGGCCTGCAAATTGCTTGAGCTCCTTGGATTTGTAATTCAATATATATTAATAACACATGGACTCAGATATTACTCGGGGATGTAGCTCATATGGTAGAGCGCTCGCTTCGCATGCGAGAGGCACGGGGTTCGATTCCCCGCATCTCCATTTTAATTTGCACATCAGTTTGTTTTTTTCTTTTTTTTTTTTTCTTTATAGAACTCTCTTTTAATCGTATAAATAACCTCCCAGTAAAATCTGCAGCCTTGAATCTCCCCGGTAAACACACACTGTAAAAAATCTCTGGAAAATTCTAAGGCTTTCACAAATTTTAGAGTTCTTCTTTGTCTCTTTACAGTCAAATTCGTGGATTTCTTCGTTCTATTTCCAGTCGTCATCTAGTCGGAGGAAAAATTGCGTATTTTGATGCGTCTCAAGTCATTGATTTCGTAATTTGGTGAGTCTCTTTGTCTCCGATGAGCCGTCAACTTTCGCGATTGCAAATCTGCTTTTGGTCGTTTGGTTTCTGCAATGAGTTGGGTTAAAACGAGAGGAGCGATGTTGACTTGAGTTTTAGATTTTTGTTTAGGTCAGAGAACAGTGATGAGAAGTTGGATTTCTTCGATTTCTGTATCAGAGTTCCTCTTTAGGGTTTAAGGCGATGAAAATCTTGGGTCCTTAAATGTCCTTATAGTTTGCAGTTAGGTTTTCTGATCCTCTGGTGGAGAAATCAGGGTTTATAATAAGTAACGACGAATCGATTTCAAAAAAAAATTGTACACTTTCATCCTTTTTGTGTCTACTTTGTGTATTATTCGTGTTTGAGTTGACATGTAACTCTTGGTTTCTTGCAGTGGCGTTTAGCCTGAAAGCAGAATCATCCTGGCTTGGTTCCCAACTTCTCTCATTGTACCAAAGAATGCAATTTCCGATGTACAACAATGGAAGCTTTAATCCTTCACCAGGAAATGGTCCTCCTAATCAGATGCATTTGCAACAGAATCATGCGTCACATGCCGCCCCTCCTCCTCCTCCTCCTCCGGTTCAACAAGCATATATGTATCCGCCTCCTCCACATCCTGCTTCCTCGGCCACTCAAGCTCAGCTGAACACAACGCCAGGAACAACTCAATCCTACACAAATTTATCATATTTGTATCCCTCTTCACAGGGCGAGAACCAAACTGCTCGTGGGAGCTCACAGCAGTTTCCTTGTCATCTTCCACCTGTTTCAATGTTACCTCCCCCTCCACCTTTACCTCCTGGTACTCTTCCATTTCATTTTCTACCAAGTTTCCCACTTTCTTTCCCCGCAAGAAGTTTGGAACCTCCTGGGATGCCTCTTCCCCCACCGCCTCCTCGATCTTCGTCGCCACTTGTTGCAGACACCGCTTGTGATAAACCTGAAGCTGCAAAGCATGTTTGTGAAAGCGTGTCTGTAAATGGCATGCTCTGACCATGAAGGACCTGATATTGAAGACGCTAAATCTTTAAAAGAGAATTCTTTCCACTGTGATGATACTTCTCCACCACTTGAGAGGGCAGGGTATGGTTCTCCTTTATGTACTGATCCTGACATTGAGATGGAAGGTTCGTGTGAGAAAATTTTATTCTTTTACTATGACCAATACCAATTTTGGTGCTTCTTGTTTGCCTGGTTGTTACATTTGGCTCTCTTTTTTTTTCAGATGATATCACGATGCCTGAGAATGAGAATTACACAAGCCAACCTCTCAACTGTGGTTCTGATCAAGTTCCTGGGGCATATTTGAAAACAGAAGGGGCGCCTCCACAACGTATTTCCGCTGAAACCAATTCTATCACAGGCATCACCATAAATTTTCAAACAGAGCTTCCTGGTTCAAAATCGTATGCTCAAATCCACCAAGATACAGATGATGGTTCCAGACAAGCATCTTCCTCGCCTTATTCTGGAAAAGCCAAGATTGTTCCGGAATGTGGTCTGGCTGACATGTATGATCCCTTCGTTGACAGCTTTGAACCAGCATCTGTGAAAGTAGATTGTGTTCAGGAGCATGAACCAGTTAATGACTCATACACTGTACCGAAGGAGAGCATTTCCTCAAACAGACCACTGAATATGGAAGAAAACAACCAAGGTGTTATTAAAGAAGTTCTAAGTGAGTCAGACATGACAGCTCGGGTCAGTGTTTCCTCCAACATACCACCTGACGTTAAAGAAAACACCACTGGAAACGATATTAGAGCAGTGGCTTCTGAAGATAACGATGAGTTTGGTGATAACGTAGAAAACAGAACAGAAGGTAACAGCCATGAGACAGGGACTCCAGACTCCCATAACGAGAATCCGAAAGCAAATAACAATGTGCGTATGGGGAAAAAGTCGCGAGGGGATTCAAAGGAGAAAGATTCATCAAGGTCCATGAAGCTTTTCCAGGTTGAGCTAACGAAATTTGTGAAGGGTCTTCTGAAACCATCGTGGAGGCAAGGGAATATGAGCAAAGAGGCGTTTAAGACGATTGTGAAGAGAACGGTGGAGAAAGTTTCAAAGTCAATGGAGGGTCGTCGTGTACCCAAATCAAGAGTTAAGATCGATAGGTATATTAATACTTCGCAGCACAAGCTGACCAAACTCGTCATGGTAAGCAACATAAAAGCTTTGGCACAATCTCCTCAAATTCCATCATTACCGAATCAGACTCATCATGCATGGTTCTTCATTTTTTTGTTGACAGGGTTATGTAGACAAGCATGTCAAAGCATAAAAGATAAGAGAATCACGTAACAAGTCCCGGCTCTAACCAGAGGGGCGACGTCCAGATTTTTTTTTCATGTTTTAAAATTTGATAAAAAAATGGCTCATGATCTATTATCGTAAAACCGATATCATTCTATATCTATGTGATTAACAAAAGGGACTCATAATCTAAACCTATTATGTTGCATTCTCAAAAATTACATTTTACCGTTTACTTTATTTTTATTAATCAATATTATGGTAGTACTAGAGTTTCTCCAAAAATCATGACACATCACCAAAATTATAATAAAAAACCAGTAAAAACAAATCATTAATACATATCAATTGCGTACCTCAAGAATCCATTAGTGGAAAGCTCACTGAGTTAATGTTAATCACAACGGCTTTATAGTTGAAGAGAAGAATTTACATTATGTTTGATTTATCTAGTCGTAATGCCTCCGTAGCATAGTGGTATTGCGTTCGCTTCGTAAGCGAAAGGCCGCGAGTTCGATCCTCGCCGGGGGCTTTAATACTGGAGCCTTTTTTATTTTTTTGGAGCATTTTTTCACTTTAAGAGATTACTACTTTACTAGATCTTCGCGTCGGTAGGTAGACAACAATGATGCATACGGCCCAGATTATCTTTTTAAATTTGAGATCCGATCAGTTTTGTATTGACCCCAAAAAAACAATATCTATCTTTTTTATTGAAATTTCTTTTGTTATTTTTAAAGAAAAATATCAACGGTTTGTCCAAGCAAAGATTGTCGAAGATAACGTGTCCCGTTTATAACCCCCAATCAGTGTTCAAGAAAGCGTTAGGCACTAGACGAGCAGTGATATAACGCCTAGCGCCTAGAACGCTTAGTCAGAATCTAGACAATTTTTAGGTGTTTTAAATGTTTACAAAATAAATTAATTTATTATATATTTTATAGAATACAATATATAAAATTATATAGTTTGTTTATAAATAATAAAATTTACATATTATAAATCTTAAATATATATTTAAAATTCAAATTATACATAAAAAATAAAAGAAATATTATAAATATTAAATATAAAACGTTTAGGAAATAACCGCTATAGTCTATGAACGCCTAACACCTAAGTGAGTGGTCTATGAACGCTTACCGCCTAGACCGACTTTTAGAACACTGCCCCAAGTTTCTAATCTTTGGCGGTGTATTTGAAAGCGATTCACAGCTTTGGTTTGCCATACTTGGCATATGTACGTATATGACTCAATTTTCTTAACAAACTATTTTTGTTTAGATTTCTATGAACGAAGCACTACCCCACGAGATCAGAGCATGCAAATAGTATTCTTTAAGTCTAAACAATTTTTTTTTAAAGTAAATTATATCCGTGAAAAAACTTTTAATAAACAAAGAAAAATTCGTATTGTTCACTCTGTTGAGTGAGGAGGTCCCGACGATCTTCATCTCGAGTTTTATATTCCTTTTGAGGAGGAAACTATTTGAATACTAATAAAATATTTGGTATAAGATTTCTTTGAAAATATATACTAGATATATAGTTTCTTTAGTGGCCTATAAGAAATAAAAAACAAAAAATGTACCAGAAAAATAGCCTCCGCAAAACAAAACAGAAAATTAAAAAAGAAAAAGGAGAAAAGGAGAAAACAAAAAGAATTGCATGCCTAAGTGAATGAATTATGTGAAAAGGAAATAAGGTGGACCTGTTTTTTTTTTCTTCCTCTCTTAACTTTGAAGCATGCTGGTGATATATGAAAAAGAAGTTTATATAATCATATGGACCAATATATATCCCATTTAGGATAAATTATCTCTATCCAGTAAAAGATTCTAAAAACGTAAATATTCTCTGGACGTATCTATATCTTACTATTATATTATCTAATGCCGATCTTGACAAAGACATGCTCACTCTGATAATGAAAATGTTAATAATATTTATTGTAAATTACATTAGAGAGCTAAAAGGAAATATAAATGTAGGTTGATGAATTAATGCTATCTAAGAATAGTGCAATGAATACCCTTTTTAGGAATTATAATATATTTTCAACCAATCTGTAAGAAGAGTTGTGGTGTAGGTAATTAATAGAACTTGTTTGAAAGAAAGAAAAAAGAAATCTTATGGCAAATCTTTGAATTTTCTTGACAAGTGTGTGCCCATCTATATCTAAACACATGATTTATAAAAGATCAAAAGGACCACACAAAAGGAAAATAAGTTATGTTTTCAAAACCAATAATTTACCAATGGGGATTAATGGCCCTACAACTTGGAGAAGAGGAGAGAGAGAGTTAATGAAAAAGAAAGAGAGTGAGAGAGGACTAATATTGGATGATAGGGATCAGTGCTTGACTGCAATTCAGTTCTTAACTGCTTCTCTTCTTTCCCTTTCCTTCTCTGACCCCTCCAATCCCAATACCCACCCTCCTTTTTCTTTACATATTTCTTATTTTATTTTATTTGATTTCGGTTAGATTATGACTAAGTACTTGAGGTTATAATTAAGGGGGTTCGATACATATCACATGTCAAGATTATAAACCTCAGAATGTTTAGTGAAACGAGACCATTACATAGAGAAAAAAAATGTTTAGTGAAACGAGACCATTACATAAAGTTTAAATGCTCCTCTAATGTACACAGATGTGTAAGGAAGATTATATACGGTATACGGATGAGTGTTTGTGAAGCCTTTAATTAAGCTTCACGTTACAGGTATATATATTGAATATGTATATACATACGTACACATTATTGACATTAAAAAAAACACAATAGTTATATTTGAAAAAATTAGTTAAATAACATTTAATTTGATCATAAGTATATGTAATTACTAATTATAGTACATATATTAAGGGTGGAAAATTTATTTTGTTTTGATTAGAAAGTTTATTGTGCATAAATTTGACCGTTCTTACTAGATTCTCTGCATTTCTTTGACCTAAATATAATCTCTCCCTCACACACAGTCACGAACACGTGAATGTGAATGTACTTATGAGTATAATTCCATCACATTTATTAGCTCTCTTATTGAAATCAGTCGAGTATCGACTAAAGACCACACCATGCGATTTCTTTGATTTTGATGAACAAATCAAAAGTCAGCAATTACGGAGATGAGGAAAACGCTAGATAACTATCTCATCTAATTTGCCTTATATACACACACACATGACACATACACACTTACATATACATTCTCAATTATGTTGATATGCGTGTATGTACATGATTATGGGTGTGACGCATATATACAAACGAGGCTAGGGTTTGGCATGCATTATATATTGCCGTACGTCTAGGCATCGTAAACGGCAACCTATACCTATACTTCTAATTTTGTATCTATATATAGAACATATGCATGTACAAATATACGTAGTTGTTAAAAGAAAATGATAGTTGACATAAAATTATTGGAAACTTATTGGTGTTTGTTTCTGACGCCTGGCAAGTAACGATCTCTTCTGTTTCTTCCATTTGAATTGTGCACAAAATGACTTTCCTAAATATGCCATTACAAGAATATTTAGCAATAGCGCACTTAGAAAATTCGTAGTTAAAGACAATAATACAGAGTTGGGGAGTCTAATCTCTTGGAATTGATGTGGTATTTGATGATCGGACCGCATTAAGATGTATGATCGTATATACTGCATTTATATTACTTATTTAAAATATTATTGTGAGTGATAGAGCGAAACATAGAGAGAAACTTATACGAAGCCCGAATTAGATTATAATAATAGTGAAAGTAACTTTCATACTATAAAAAAAAAAAAGAAGAAGAGTGATCCAATGTAATTACGTGTGAATTTATTTTTGGGATCCAAATCTTAACACCTGATATCATATTTCTAAATTCCAAACCCTAACTATTAACATATTATAATCCATTGCGATTACTAGCTAATCGAAATTATACATGAAGATGCAAGACTATAGATTATGTTAAAAAAGAGGCTCTACATCCTTGTTTTATTTCCTTGTTTTAGATATTTATGACAAACCTATATTGTACTATCTCTGTTATTTGATATAACTATATCGTGTTTACATAGGTCTTCATCAATGAATACAGAAGACAATCTGCGAGAATTCATAGAATAAGAGCAAGCAAAACCAATGAGACATATCAAAACGTGAAATATATAGGTATAACCACCAACCTCTCGCGTTATGAATCTCATTGTTTGAATCCAAATCAGAGATTAATCAAAATTATTAAAACTCTATATATACATACAAGAGGAAATATATAGATCAATCCAACAATACGCAAATATATAAATTTAGAAGAATACGTATACATATAACATATGGTATGTATAGTATAGATATATAGATATCTATATGAATCTTTCACGAATCTGAATCATTGTCACTACTATGACGATCCGTATCATGATTCGAGCTCATCAAATGATGAAACGGTCTAATCAAACTCGAATTACCCGTCATCATCTGTTGCTGCGACGCCGTATTGGCATTGGAGCTAAAGAGCTGAAGATTGCCAGCTCCATCAACGACATGATGATGATGATGATGATGATGATGGGAAGCTCCGAGGAAGGAAGGATACGTCGGAAATAGAGAGCTCATTGCCGGAGGAGTAGGACCGAAAAATAGCTGAGATCCGTCTCCGGCAGACGAAGAAGGAGGAGGCAAATTGAGATTATTATTATTATGAACATTGGATATTGCGACAGTAACGTTATTACCGGATTGGTCTAACGAGTGTTGAAGATGTCCGAGGTTGTAATAAGAGGAAGTGTTGTTGTTGTTGTTGTTGTTGTAAGGATTGGTCAGAGAGAAATGTTGATGGTTGGTGTCGAACCCGTGATCTTGATTGCTGTTGTGATCATCGTGTTTGATCCATTTTCCTTTATCAAGATCGAAACTCTCTCTTTGTGTAGTTGTGGTATCGGCTATTCTTGGTCTTGTTCTTGAAGAAGAGCCACCAAGATCCCAACTATCCAAGAAACCAAGATTGGTACCTGGAAATGCTGTTGATGATGATGATTCTCCGATCCCCGAGTTTCCAAAGATAAGATTTGGATACATTTGGTTAAAACCATGTGGGAATTGTAAAGGAGGAAGCTTGTCTACGTCATCTTTTGCTGCTTCTAGTAACCAATCGATGACTTTGCTTGGCTGACTCAGCCCTAACCGATCTTGAAGGTCGTAAAGCTGAATCGCTGTTGGTACAGACAACCTTATCCTCCGGTCTCTAAGGCCACGGACTGTGCAGACTTTGCTGTGTCTGTCTTTGCCACCGAATGTTCTTGACACTCGGACGATTCTTGGATTCCTGAAAGCTGAGGTCCATTGCCTCGAAGATGATACCGAACTCGGCTGATTCTGCTGCTGGTGCTGCTGCTGCAACATGTTGTTTAAGTTTACTTGATGATTATCTTCTTCTTGCTTTGCTTGAATGTCTTCTTCATCGCATTCTCTTGATCTCATCTCTATTAGTTCACTCAATTGGAACTTTCTGAGTGAAGAACAGATCTGAAACAAGAAGAGAAGAAAATTAGCCAATTTAACAACATAAAAAGAGAGGAAATAGTTGTTATAGCTTCTAATTATGGATTGAAATTGAGGTGAAGTGATTATATTGTTTCTTTTTCAAATGTTTGGGAGTAAAATTCACATGAAAACAAAGCAATATGTGATTGATCTCTTTGATTCTTGGATTCTGCATCTAAGAAAAGAAAGCTCGGAAGGATACGAAATTCAATCTAATGCATGTATGTTCTTACACCGATATAGAAGATTGGTAAGCTTGAGCTCCTAGTTTAAGATCTAGCTTGACAGAGAAGAAGAAAGAAGAAGAAGGAATGAAGAGATAAGAAGGCAGAGGAGGAACAATATGAAGTATTTCTTTTTTTAGTAACTCGAATTATATATCTAGATTATAATGATTGGGGAAGTTAAATAATAAATGGATTAAATATATATATTTTTATTTTATATTCCAATTCCTAGGGTTTTACTTTGGGTATGAAAGGAATTTATGCACTGGGACAAAAAGAGGTGCAATTTATGTAGTGTATATATTGATACTCTGATGGGAATGTGCATGTTTCGTCTAACACTCACAGTCACACAATTTTTTTTATAAAATCTTTACAATAATAATTTCATATTATTTTTGTATTTTTCCTTTTTGGGTTAAACTTTTAATTAAAGTATAAATGTTTACCAATCCTTGTAAACACAATCGTCGCTATAATCTCAATTTAAATTGGTTGTATTATATTTTTTTGCAGACGAACAAAAAACATTAACTCAATCGTGCGGTAAATTAATGTTTAAAAGTCGTTTAAAACATGTTTGCAGTTGAATTAAAGTTTTGAATGGGGTAACAGGCAAGTTTTAAGTAAAAACAAAAAACAAATAATATATCAATTAATCGAAGAAATGCAATAGGTTTCAAAAATAAATAGAAACATATAAAGAAAAAACCTAAAATTTATTTTCCAAGAGATTCGTTTGAAAAGACAGTTTTAATGAAGAGTAGAGAAATGGAAAATTCAGTTAGTAGGCAAATTGTTGATTTGCATTATTAACGAAGCCGACTTGTTGAAACTTGAAAGTTTGAAACCCTAAATTTAGTGATAATGAAGTGTAGATTTGTTAAAATCAAATAGATGGGAATGCTTTCATGCCTAATAAATAACTTGTGGGTTATATATATTTTGAACATATAAATACGTAGCTAAATATATTATAGACTGACAGCTAGAGGATGTAGGATCTCTCTCTCTGAGATATAGAGAATGGACCAAAGAGTATAGGTTTTTCTTTTGAAGCATCTAATGCTTAAATACTCACAAAGAGATTTGTGGACCACTTCTCTTGTATGCGTCTTTGCCACTGAGATTTTTGCCCACAATCACACCATTTTCTTTCCTCTTTGTATCCAAGTTGATCACTACCTACTATAAAGTCTCCTATATTTGACCGCGCCTTTAACCCAATGCTTGTTACAAATGAAGAATATTGTGTTTTGATGTATATCATATGGTTTCCAATTCAGAATTGCCGCAATAATTACTATATTCATAATCTCGTTATCAAATTCATTGCAACAAAATCTGCTATACATTATTTATGACGGAGTTTTTACGAGCACATTAATCTTAAATTAATTAGTAGAAAAATGGTTGAAGCTTCCTAGCTCCACTAACATAGTTCTATAGCTAATTTTCATAAATATACTCATTATTAATTTGTTTAGTACTTATTTAACTATACAAACATATGAGTTAAAAAAATAGCATGCACTTTTGATCTGCAAAACATTTGCTTGTAGCAAAATACAAAGAAAATTAAGAGAACTGAATTGAAGTAGAGAACTAAGAGATGAATGATGATGATGGGACTTGAGCTTCTGTGCTTAAATTCCTCCGACTTTTCGTGCATAGGATCTTGTGATCCTCATACGGGCCATACCGTATACGTTTTACAAATATGTATGTACTGTATACGAATATATATAGATATGTTTGATACTTCTGACTTTTGGCTGAATTATGTCAAAGCTCTGCAAAATTTAAATTTCAGTCTGCTCATATAAGTTTTCTCCATGTGCAGTGTTTAATAACCAGGTTGTTTATCCTTGGCATACTTTCTCAAATAAATAGTTGATCAAAAATCTCTTAAAATAAATATAGATTAGCTCTAGAAACCCTAATCTACGATATTTATTAATTATGCCCTTTATAAGAATGCGTACATGCCTGCCTGTACTTTTCTACAACATAATTGTCTTTTTGGGATTTCTCTTACAGCAGAAATTAAAATGAAATATTAAGCAAACTTATAACTTATAAGAGAAAAGTACGAGATGTCGGAGAAGAAAAGCAGAATGTGGAGTCGCATGCCTAGAATGTGAAAATGATGGTGGCTGAGATATTACACACCACGTATAAAAATGGCACTAATTAACCGTATTTACACCAATAAACAATGCATTTCTTGCCGTTGATTATCCGTAAACATACAAATAGTAAATTTTGTTGTTCTTGCAATTTTAATTGCGCAACAAAAATTCTATATTTATATATGCTCTAAATTATATCTGAAAATGATTCTAGGCTTTGTAGCCATTCTAAATAATAATTCAAAATTTATATCTTAAATAAGATTGACTAAAAATCTACTATTTCAGTTGATCATTTAACATTAAGATTGTTAATTCAAACTGCACTAATCATATTAACGCAAGGGAATGACACTGACAAAAGAAATTATAATGTTGGATAATAACTTGGTATACTCTATCTTAAGACAACATTTAGGGTTTACTAATTAGACGATGGGAATGTGTTAATATCACTAATTAGACATGACTTAGTGGTAATCATACAGGTATAAGTAATCATTTACTTAGCTACGGAATTGGACAGTTTTGTGACGTGGGAACACAGATTCTTGAATCCAAATCTCTTGAACTTTGCCTTAAATCATCAAGACATTTTAGGGTAATAAAAGCATCTTTATTTTCTCTCCTCCGGCCATGTATATTTTTTCTAACAAGAAAAATTCACTGTACTTAATCTCAAGGTTGAAGAAAATATTTCTCATAAAAAGTAGCAAACTCCTCTACTCATAAACGTTTTTCTTCTTCTTTTATCTTCCCGATTTACTGAATGTGATATAAAATAAAGCACTGTAATAACCAAATCTCAACAAATAAAAGTACTAGCAGAACGAATATGATGGAACTGTTAAACAAACTAAAAAATACTGTAGCATTAACAAAAAACTACTGAAGAACAGTGAAAAAAATTGTCGCTAAATTTGCCGTTGGAATGCTGAATTTTCTTTTAGTTTTATTTTCTTAAGGGTATTAATGGTAAACAGTCCTGCTGATTTCATTAACTTAAACAATAACACTAATTTCTTTTGTTAGATAAACATCTTCAATTGACAATGATAAAATACTACAAATGAACCCTAAAAAATGGGTTAAGCGTTCAGAAATTTTGGCTAAAAGAAAATTAACCTTTAATGTAGTTAAATATACAAAACCAAATTATTGAAAGAGACAATTCCAAATTTTGTAATTTTCCACAGAAAAAGAAAAATTAAAAATTAGACAAGTTGGTCTTAAGCTATCGCCATCACACCGTGTACAAAGTCGCAACTCGGAGTCTTACAAATGAAAAAAATCATAAAAATATCCAAAGTTTGATACTTGCCTTATGTGATATCAACGAATCATAATTCATAACATACACATCTCTTTGATTTTTTTTTTTTTTGGGGTCAGAATACATCTCTTTGATTTATTCCGACTACAAGAGAATCAAAAACAAAAGAATGAAAAACGCAGCCTAAGTGCTAAAAACGGTGTCGTTCATTATCAACAGTACACGATGGCCTAAGAATAACGTCTTTCTTCTTTTTCTTGTCTTTTCGTACTGAGCCGTCGTTTTCGGGTCTGATCGTCAGTAAATGCAGAAGGCTCATGCTGAGACAGACAACGACATGTCCTTGTAAGAGACAACACCAAAAGGAGTAAAACCACCAAAAAGTAAATTGGTTTAACTACAATATTAATAATCGACATACCCATAATATAATATGTATGTACATACATGTTGATGCTGACATACATACATTACTGCTCTTCCTTTTTGTATTATTGATGCAGTAAAGGTGCCTCCAGAGTTTGCTGCACATAAAAACACTGAAACTACCCGTTTCTCTCTGTGTTTTACTGTTACACTACGAAACCTCTCACTCTTTAAATTTGGAAAAAAATAAAAATAAAAAATCACGGGTTACAAGTAAGACAAAACATATATGGTATAAGGTTTTATATGCCGAGACAAGGATTGGCTTTTATGGATATGGAAGTAAAGGACGTACCCATAAGGTAGACAAATTGATTAACATGATTTTATATGTTGAATTTTCGTTTGTAATATTCACTTGGATTCCACTCTTTGTCAGTAAGCGAAATAGCCTCGAGGGATTGAGAGGAGACAGACGGGAAGATTATATGAGCCTGCAAAGGAAGGGAAAATGCAGTAGGAAAAGTTACTGTATGTATATGGAATAGTGAAGTGCCTTTAATGTCTGGGGAGCAAATAAGCAAAGGGGACAGATACATAGAGTAAGAAATTATTGCAGATCATGTTTTACGAGCTTGGACCCTTGAAAAAAAAACAATGCTGTGAAAACATTTATGCAGGTGAATGGCTGAGTCTGGCTTCTAGTATCAGATAACATTTATACAGAACATGTGATAGTTCATACAATATCCAGGCACTTATCGAATATTCCTAATAGCATCTTTGATTGAGTTTAGTGTGCCAAGAGCTCAGAGAAGGAGATGAGTGTAAAACAACAAGTACTCAGAGCAGGACTGACTCAGAGTTTGCTAGATATCCAAATTGCTCACAAGCTAGTTGTCAAACTTATCATTTATAATGTTAAAAAAAAAAACTTATCATTTACGCCATATATAGTACGTAATCTATTAATTGAGAACTTTCTGCAAACTAAAGGGACAATAACATCTTTAATTAGCTTTATATGGATCAAAACAGAAGAATGATGATTGTCCTGAGTCTTCTGACTGTTTGTTTCTTGACTGACCTGAGATGATGATTAAGCTATACCCATTGGATAAAATTAATACGCAGTTAAGCTTTCTTACATATATAGAAACAAATTATATACACATAGCTATTCTTGTTCATCATCAATCAAAACAAAATCGACGACAGACATCTATATATATATATATATATTATACGGCTCTTCTTTCTCAATTATCTCATTGTGACTATCAAAAATATGATTTCACATGTAGCAGTGTTATGGTTTGCAGTCTCTTTAAATGTCCAGTCGCCACAGGCTCCTGTTTCTTTTC